ATTGGTTTAGAAAATCCTAGATTCATTGAGATTCATTGAACTTTCTTCAATGCCATGTTTCAATCTCGAGTCTGCCCTTCAAGTTTTGTGACTGTGATGCCGAGAATCACAAAACAAGGTGTGAAGTAACCATGAAAATTACTTGGTACCCTTAATGTATTACCCCTCAATCGATGTGCCGATTAACCACACACGCTCCATCAATACTATGATAAACGTTAACTCACCCTTTACCTAGCTTGCTAAGTTCAAGTTAGTGTGCCGGTTAACCACACACGCTCCACTAATGAATTAAACAAAGTGTAAAATGTAATTTCATGGATTAGCACCTTATTCACATTATCCTAAAATAAGTAAGATTGGGAATTCAATAAAGTTTAGTTACTTTAGTATTATCATTATACTTTTAATGAGATTTTATAAGTCCTTGTCCTACCCGTTCGGCTAAGGACCCTCCACCAATCAAGGAAGCAGTGGGTGAGAGTGGACACCCATTAAGTTGCATTTTATAGGGAACAACCTTATACCCCCCTTATAGACCGGCTTCGTGAATGAGGCGTACTAGCGGTAAAACGACTTGATCTTATATATATATATATATAATATATATATATATTATATATATATATTATATTATATATATATATATATATATATATATATATATTATATATATATTATTATTAACTTATAATATTATAAAAGTATAAGGGTTGAATTTTAACTTTTAAAAATTCTAGGCGTTAGAACTAAAGTTTTAATCATGACTTACTTGTTCCAAAACTTGAGGGAAATTTTGTAAACTTTCAAAACTTTTCATTTCTTATAACTTATGAATTTAATTAAGTATTAAAATGAAGACTCTTCATTTTTCTAACTCTTGTGTTCTTTTAATGGATTTTATTAAAGTGTGACCTCTGGTTTTCCATAACTTGAGGACAAGTTATGGACTCAATTAAAAGACATTATGATCAAGAATTAAACTACCAAGTAGGTTACGAACAATTCCTATGATCATCTAATTTTCATAAGTTTCAAAGATTTTATGAACACATACAAAGCATGAAATTTTGATATAAGCTATTGTAAATGGATTAGAACAGCCATTACACCAACTAAAACAAGTTTTAAAACACCAAAACAGTTTAGGGTAATGTTTCTAGTCCATTTCCAGCAGCAAATGTCGAAAATATGCATTCTGAAGCTTCTACTCATCAAGTGCACGAACCAACTCGACGGGTAGGATGAATTTAGTCATGGACTTAGCGAGTCCCCCCATGGACTCGGCAAGTTCATCATGCAGACAGTAAGAAAATCGAATTTTTTCACTATTTTGCATCAAGTATCAAACAAACAAGCCTAGGCTCTGATACCACTAATGGATTTTGAGCATTCTAACACTCTTATGGTGTACATGCAACCCTAGAAACCTTGGATCTATGTTTGACTAAGATACATGCAAATAATTATTTTTCCAAGGTTCTTATCCTACCTAGCATGGCATGGGGAACTTGAATCAAAGAAAGCTAGTAGAATTACTTACCTTGTAATTGTAGTTGATCGCTTCGAGTTTTAGAGCCTGTGGATGCCTCAAATGCAAATAAAAAATCACCACAAACTTTGGAACCTTAAAAGAATAGTCACAACTATCTTGAAATCGGCCCTCTTACTTTACTCACCACAACTAGTGTGATTTCAGGAACCAAAGCCTCCTTTATATAGTGTGATGGATTAGGGTTACATCCATGTAAACCCTAATACCCATCTCTTTTCATTTCCATGAGATCCATGGGTTAAAGCTCCATGGAGTATCCATGGACTTTCCATGCAAGCCTAGCCCACACTATATAAATACTAGAGCCCATATTTAATTAGTCATAATTTTGATCACTAAATGAATCCTAGATTAATTATAGATCAATACCAATTAAATAATATGATTTTATATTAATATATTAGAACTTATAGTATATTAAAAAATCACAAGTTACACTATTCACAAAAGATTATCCATAAATTGTTCGGTTGAAGGGCAACCCAAATGGACCATGCCAAGTCGAGTCAAGTACATACCTAATATAGTTATGGACTTAGACACTATATCCAACAATCTTAACTTCAATGGCTGCTTCTAATCCTCAACAAATGATTTCAATGCAAATCGCAAATAGTGTGGGTGGCCCTATACATGCCCCATTACTAGTTGTAGAAGAATATGATTATTGGAAATTAGAATGGAAAGATTTTTACTGGCCAAAGATAAAGATGAAGAAATATGGAGATCCATCAAAAAAGGTCCTCATGTTTATGTGAGAACAAGTGTGAGAGATGCTTTTGCTTAGCTTACGGGTCAAGATGAAGCTCGTCCAGTTCTTTTAATTGTAGATGATATTGAGAAGCTGCATGCTGATCAATTTGCTTTCTCAGAAATGGTGTTTGGTGTTCCTCCTTCACTTTTCGAGCACCTAAATTTGTGCAAATCAGCCAAAGAGATTTGGGACACTCTTCAGGACTTGATTGAAGGTTCGGAAAATATGAAACACAAGCGCCTCACCTCAGTTGTAAATGACTTCGATACCTTCACTACCACTCTTGATGAATCAGTGGCCTCAACCTCCAACCGTTACCGAATCATGGTCAACAACATGACTGCTTTTGGGATTGTCTGAACTCCCTTAAAGTACAATCTCAAATTCATAAAAAGTCTCAACAAAGGATGAGGGAATGTGAAATATTGTCTCCAAAGTAATGGTTCTTTGAAAAGGTTAAAGCTCTATCAACATTTTGATGAACTTCAAGGACACGAGTCTAATGTTGCTCAAACCATTAAGGAACTCTTTGGAAGCTCTCTTTCCACTGTCAGTACTTTCGAACCAACCATTCTGACCATGTATACTTCGCACCCTTCAAACCCATTGTTCCATATGTTCAATCATCCGCACCCATCTTACCCATACAAAACTATCATGTTGATGATTCTGAAGCCATGCAATCCGAACCCCGTTTCCAACAGGAGTTTGCTCTACTTTCCATGAAATACAAACGTCCTTTCAGTACCTCTTACAAACCATACCAAAATCGATTCCATGCTCCTCATCATAACAATCCCCAACCATACTCATCTCCGGGACCTAAACCAAAATTCGGAAAATCCTCCCGCTTATAAACCGAACATCACTAAGCCTAACTTTACTCTGGAACCTTCACAGAGTTCGAAATCGGACAAACCAAAAATTGTATGTCTTAAGTGTGGACATGCAAACCATTTTGCTAAAGATTGTCTGGATGATGTCCCGCAGAAACCAAAAATCAAGGATTTTGATGACTATGTCCGAAAAGCTCAAGAGATGGTTGAAAGAGAAAAAGTCGTTGTAACAACGGTTTAAAGAGATGTTGAAGGATATTGGTCATCCGGGGATGATGATGACATGGTTACTAGAATAAATATGTGTTTGATAGCAAGACAAACTGTTGAATGTCATGAAGGGTATTGATCATCTGGGTTAGAAAATGAAGATGATGTTGCTGAACCTCACTATTGCTACATTGCCACCAACGAACCGCCAGGCCGAAGCATCGTTCAGTAGGTAAAATCTATGATCTCTGATAATAATTTTGATTTGTCTCTCTGGAAACCATCTATAAAGCCAATGATTTTTCCATAGAAGTGAGTGAGAAGAAGGAGTGTGAATTAAATCGTCTTCGATTATGTTTCGAGGATAAAAAATTGAAAATCGAGTCTCTAGAGCGTGAACTTGTAATGTCAAACGATGAATGTGTCATTTTAAAAGACAAAATGTGAAATCACATATTCTGAATGAAATGTTTTGATTTCTGATAACAAACGTCTCAATGCTAAGATAGATGCCTTGCATAATTCTATAGGCATGCTTGAAGCGAACAATCGGATGACTCATAATTTTAGTCATCCATGGTCTAAAGCACCTGTTCTTTGAAGCAAGTTTTCGAAACCAATTGCTCATCCCTTGAAGGAATTGCAAAATTTGACATTCATGGGAGAGGTTCAGAACATCAAACATTCGGACACCCTTGTTTCTCCCTTGTCACCACTTCATGAGACCATTGACCATTTTGAGTCCTTAATTTCTAAGTTCCAACCTATTGTTATCAAATGTCTCGATTCCACGCCTCTTCCGCCTCTGATAAACCTGGACCTGAATCGGACCACGGAACTTCATCACACTGTTTCAAATTTCATATATTATGTTCTCAGCCATAATCATCCGAACAACTATGTTGTTCAAAAAATCATTCCGGTGACAACAAAAATGGTTACCTCTGATCACTACTAAAAAAACAGCCTTTTACGACGCTCATTGCGCGTCGTAAAACGATCAGACGACGCGCAAATGCGCGTCAAGGAAGGCCCTGTCATAAAGAGACACGATGCGCTTTTGCACGTCGTCTATAGACGACGCGCATATACGACGCGCATTTATGACGCGCATTTACGCTGCGCAGTTATGACACACAATGCGTATCAAGGAAGGCCCTGTCATAATGGAAGACGACACACATTTGCGTGTTGTAACCTTACGACGCGCGTGTTTATGACACGCAATGCGTATCAAGGAAGCACCTGTCATGAAAGGCCATGTCATAAATGAAGACGACACACATTTTTGCGTATCGTAATTTTAATTTTTTTGTTTTTTTTAAATATTTATAGATTTAATGATTTTCAAATTCAATTTGCATTTCATGTCTCATAATAGAAAATAAAATACCATATACAAAAAATACAATACATTGCACAAAAGTTAATGTCATAAAAATAATCATTCCAATAGTAGACAAATATAATACATCAAATAATCATTCCAATAGTAGACAAATGTAACATTTCCACATTTTTTATATAATTAACTAAATTATTAGCCAAATTTCCTAAAATACCAACATACTTTTCTATGAAGAGCATTAACACTATTCTTTTCCATTAAAAACTTCAAAACCTGCATAATTAAATTAATGTGTAATTAGCTACAGGTCAATACAGTAGGTTTAAGCAAAAGAGTTTCATAATAGTAAGATTTTACTTTGAGTTTATTACAACTTTCAGCTCTTAATTTCTCATGACTTGTCTCATACAAATAAATTTTAGGATTAAGAGGTCTTACTTCAGGGCCAAGGTTGCCAACATAAACAGTTGTGTACTGTGGATTATTCTCAGGGGCATCACTATCACTTTGCTCTTTAGTATCCTCTGCAAAACAAAACAAAAAATATATATCAAAAAATGAAAATTTTTTATAGTATTGCATACCTGAAGATCCATTTGTTAGCTCTACAACACTTTTTGAATCTGAACCTTGTCTTTCATCACTAACACCAACACCTTTTGTAGCCCAATTACATCATATCTGCCTACTCCCAAGCCACTTCCCTAATATATATATATATATATAATATATATATATATATATATATATATATATATAAAATCATGAAATCAAGTTAAATAAAAACACAATGCTAAAAATTTTAATTGAACATTATGGAAGAGATGCATAACAAATCCCTTTAATGAAGCAAAAAAAAGTACGTATATGTGTATATGAATGTACATATATGTATGTATGTATAAAGAGATGAAACATGTACTCACGAACAGCTAGAATAGACTCAGAAGCATGTCTACAGCACTTGTGTGAACAACTACACGAGGCCCACAGTTTGTTTTGGTTGAAATCCCTTCATTTTCTCTCTTCCTGAAAAAACATATAACAAAACTGGATATTTAAATAATTTTCTTTAAAAAACATATAACATTTCATTAACTTATTGTCTCTTGGATTCTGATAAAATGTCATTATTACTCTCACTTCGTGAAACAAAAGATTTCATGTTTCTTTTCTTTTATTGTTCCCTATGTTGTATTATTGGTGTTTGTTTTTTAATCAAGGGATCGTGTAAAAAGTCAGCAAACCCAAAGGAGAACCCCTACTTTTTTTAAACGCTTTTCCATGAAGATCGTGATAAAACAATATAATAATCAATCATCAATGCCACGTTCCACAAAAATAATTCTAAGCAAAATAGTTGTGCACGACGTTATTAAACTGTTTGCTTAAACAACAAAAGATTCCAAATAAAAATAGTAATGAAAGGGATGTGCATCCAGACAAGTTGTTGAGAAAATCAGGAAATTTGATAACACCAGAGTTGTTATAGAAGTACAAACGTTCCAAACTACAGAGGTTACCAAGATATTTGGGTATCCACCTAACATATTGCCAGAGAGATCAAGAGAAAGGAGGTTATTGGTGGTTAATGGGAACAACCAACGATACATGGATGAGGTCAGATTGTTGTTATTGAGATAAAGCTTAACAATAGATGAATAAGAAGAGTTGAGAAATGAAGAAGAATATGGATACATGACCTGTGACAGCTCACATCCCTGTAAACTTAACCATGAGAGTTTTGGGAGATTTGAAATTACATCTACCCAATGATTTGCTTTGGACAGGGAAACCCCATCAATTACAAGTACCTCCAACTGAGAGAGATGAGACAACCACTCTACCTTTTCCACTCTACACCTTCCAACAGAATCAAGATCAAGCTCTTGCAAGTTGGTGAGGTTTCCAAGCTCTGGAGGAATGGTTCCATAAAGAGAGTTCTCAGAAAGGTCAAGGTAAGTTAATTGACTCAAAGAACCAATGAAGGTGGGAATGGTTCCATTAAAAGAATTGAAGGAAAGAGCAAGATTATTCAACTAACTCAAGTAGGTTAAGTTAAGCAAGGAAGAGCTTATCTCACCTCCAAGGCCATAGAAATGCATATCAAGCCCTGTGACATGACCTGATTGTTTGTTGCACATGACCCCACTCCAATTGCAGCAGTCTTGGTCGTCAGCTGTCCATGTAGACAGAGTACCATGGGGGTCTCCTTATCCAAACACTGCTTCATATCATTTCCTCCTGCAGCTACCAATTGGCTGCCAGTTGTAGACAAGAGAAGTGACAAAATAATAAAAACACAGGGATTCATTATGTAAGTGTAAATCAAAATCTTGCTGATTTTTTTCGTTTTCGTATTGATTCCTATATGAACAGCCCCCATGAGGGTTTATATAGTCTCCACTGTCAAGAACTCAAGATAAATGATTCTAAGCTGGTGGCCATAAATTGCCCCAAATTAAACTTCAAAGACTTGCAAGTCTTGGCAATTTGTATTTATTATAGTAGATATCTTTTCCCATCTTGTCAATATGATATTGTTTCATATATGATATAAATCCCAAAGTATAAAACTAATGACATCATTCAGTCAAATACAAATCTACCAATGAAAATAGTAATGACATTATTTGGGTCTAAGAATCTAATCATGACTATGAAATGAAGTTTTGTCGCTTGCATTAACTAAGTCATGAACTTATATTGATGAAACCATGTTTATCCGTTACAGATTAATCCTGGCCGTTTCCATCCTTAAAAATGTTATTAAGTTAACACTACATTAGTAATAATACTATTTAAAACACATTAGGATGATAATTAATACAATTTTTGAAACGTTTTTGTCCCTGTTCCAAATAAAATGAGTATAATTAATATCAGATTGGGGACAAAATATAGTAATTTTAATTGAAACATGGACCAAAATGTTTCAAGAACCTCAAATAAGGACTAAAAATGAACATTTCAGCTATAGTCAAGGACCAAAAACGTGTTATTTTACTCAATATTTGGCTTTTGATTATAAAAAAGTCATCATTTTTATTGCACTTTACACGAACAGATCCACCTGCATGCATCAAGAAATATATGAGTTTGATCAGATTTCAAGAAAATTTGTCAACATCAAGTTTGCTTCGAATATGTTGAATTTGGGCATGCTTTGAGAAATCGAAACAGTATTAAAGTGCGACTAATTCAGATGTAAAGAAAAAGTTTAAAGCACTTTCTTGGGATTTTCTTGAAGACTCTAAAAGACAGCTTTTTGACTCCTATATAATTTATTATTTATATAATTCATCCATATGATCCTATGTTAACTGCACATGTAAAGCAAGATTAAAAAATGTAGACATTCGTTCTCCCACCCATCTGGAAATCAAGGGTATTTTAGTCTTTTTTTATATATAAAACATAACATGCTTCTAAAAAATGTAAAGATTTCACAAAATGAGAATCTTTTTCATTATAATATCATCATAAAAGATATGTATAGAAAGAACACATGAAAAAGAAAAAAACAGAGACAAATTGTCTTAACTTACAGATCATTAAGGTAAATATGCCCTAGAAGATGAACAGCAAACGACCATTCGTCTTGAAATGCAAGACCTTGTGAAGCAATCTACATGAAAAAAGGAAAAAGAAAGTAACAGTAAGATTGAAATCAAGCCAGCAGATATAAAATTAGGGTTTCAAATCTTAACCCAACACACAGTCAGTCTTAGTAGTAAGCCACGATTAGCGCACAACGATCATTACACAGATTCATATGTATGTTACCTGAAGCATAATTTGATTGCAGATATCAGCGACTTTGTCGTACGATCTTGATGCCATTGCATCTGTGAGTTGAGAGAAATCCAATGAAAAACATATATGAAAGGGGAAATTAAGATGAATAGAATTGAATAGCCAACAATCGATCGACACTACAATCGAGAGGAGTTGTAGTTGCCGAACCAGTTAGTGTGAGGATTGATGTGGAATAAATTGGACTACAGATCTGATTGCTTCACCTTTGCGATTTCATAGATGTGTTTTAGGGTTGTCGTAGTTGTCGATCGACGCTACAATCTAGGGCTTCCAATTTGTATTTATGGGTACAAGCGTTGACTTTGTATTGACCTACTACCGGTGGTCCAGATATTCCTCCGCCAACTGGGATGGCGAGACGGACTGTCGCCGCCACAAGCCGACGGCCAGATGCATTAGACATTACTTTAGGGACGCCATTTGACTAAAATCCATACCTGAACAAAAAAATTGGAACAGTAATATGAAAAAACCCTAATTCCTTAATTACAAGTGTAAGAAATTAAAGGAGAATGATAAGAGAGTGATGTATGTGCTTGTTCTAAAGTGTGAACGAATCAAAAAATCGATGGCATAACTGGTGGAAACAAGGGAGAAGAGAATGAGCGGGGTTTTTGATTTTTGGGATTTCATTTCCCTCCTTAGGTATACCTAGATGCTATATAGATGGAGACGCGCCTTTCATTAAAATTTTATAAAACGACAGGCCTAGACGTTACATTATTTATAAAAGGTGTCCTCCGTGTTTGTTTTTAACGCAAATTTTAGGGCACGCAAAAATCCGTGACCTCTATTCTTGAATTTTAGGAAAAGCCGACATTATTTTTTGGGCACTCATAAATGCGTATCGTAAATCACTGCGTGTCATTGTTTGCGCGTCATTAAAGGGCTGTTTTCTAGTAGTGGATTTTGCATGGGCATCCTTAGATGATAAAATTGAAAATTCAAGTTGTATCTCCTCTGATTCTTGCGAATCATATTCATTAGTCGTCTCAAAAACCAAATTGGCTCCCATTAATCCTGAGTTTAGTAATCCATCCGTAGGACAAACTTCAAAATCCTCATCTCAACCTAAGAGAAAATTTTCAATTAATGCACCTAATTCGAATTTGGATCCTCATCATAACCATTCTTAATCCGACCTGTTTCCCTTACCTATAGATACCCATCGAATACCCCTTTTACCTCTTTACGCGCCCAAACCTTCCAAAACCTTCGAATTCTCTCTTTGTTCATCGTGTTCTTCAAGCACTAATCTTTCTGCAACAATGGCTTCCCAACCTTCTCCACAAAAAATGCACCAATTGCCTCCATTCCTAGGAAGTCGATTGTAATGAATAATCCTTCAACGGGATCATTGTCTTCAACATCACTTGAACCCTTTCTTTGAGATACAACATAGTTATTCTCACTGAACCCTATGGATTATGATGAATTCATTAGAGTTATGATCGAGTTCATCACCAACCATCCCATTTCCATCCCTCTCACTAAAGTTCCTAAACCACCTCTTCCACTTCATCATCTCCACAGGGCTTTTACCAAAATCAAGGAACAGGACGGTGTACTAGAAACCAAAATCATTGGTGATTGAATAGTTCCAATCTACAAATCCACCTTCATAAAGGCGATAGGTGTTAAAGAAAACCCCAAGGGCTTTACTGTTTAAGAACCAACTGTTGAGGAATTCCAATTGTTCTTGAATCACATTGGGTACAATCAGGACTACCAGTTGAAAGACTCCAAGAAACCAATTGTTTCCAGACTCTGGACCGTGCTGATGCATCTGCTCATTAGAGGGCTGTCCGAAAAGCATGTAGGTACAGATACACTTAGCAATGACTGGTTGTATGTGGTTTACAGGATTTACTCAAGACGTAATAATGATTTTGATCTTCTAGAGGTACTATGGTAAGACTTCTACAAGTTCGCCATCAAAATATAGGAGAATAAAACTCCAAGTCCTAGGTTCTAGGCTCTAACTCTGCAACAACTCTTCAAAGAGCTTTCTGAACAATTTCCTTGTACTGGGATTCCTCTGGAGGTATGCATATCCTTCGAAACTGTTAAGTCCTATAGAATTCCGAACCAATCTTCTTTTGGTCCTCTCCAGAGGTTCCCTCAACAAATAATTAACATTATTCCTTCCGATTCTCTTAATTTGAAAAAAACATTTGGAGACTTCGACTATGTTCGACCCAACAAAGTTGTCTAAGTCCCCATTGACCCCATTTCGAATGTGGCCATGCCAACATCTTCCGGACCAAGGAAAACGAAGAAGTCCATCAAAAGGAAAACTTCCCCAACCAAGTCAAAGCCAAAAACGAGAACCAAAGTCGGCTCTTCCTCTCCAACGGAAGATGCTCATGACATTCAGACTGACTCTGGCCATCCGAACATCCCTCCTGCCCACTCATCTGAGGTACCTCTCAATGTTTCAATATCACAAGCACACACACACGGGGAGTCTCCACATCATCCACCATCACATTATCAAAAAGGTGATGCCGGTGTTGATCATAGTTCCTTGCACCCCCTGGAAGACACGCACGAGTTACTTTTAATATCCCACTCATTTCTACACGCACACACTCTGGAACCCATGTTCCCGACCATAAGCATTTCGAAGTCGGAGTTGTCCCTACCACTTCGGATGCCCCAATTGCTCTGATACCTGGAAAGGGTACATGACGACTAGGTGTTAACGATCATTTATGGGAAGACTATGTAAACATGGCACACTCCAGGCATCCAGATCTCACCAGATCTGAAGTGGAATCAACTCTCATTGCCATGAAGAAGAGAGCCATACAAAGAAACCTGCCCTACATCTCACCTACTGATGAGCTGGTTGATCTGGAATTCACATCCGGAGAAACTCCAAAACCTCCTCCTCAAGCTTCCAATCCTTCTGCTTTGGAAGATGAAATTTCATCAGAAGTGTTGCTGACTACCAATGCTGCAAATGTTGATAATACCCCTATGGTTTCTTCAGTTCAACTATACTTGAAGCCTTCCTCTTTAAATTCAGCATCTGATTTTGGATCGTCCTCTTCCACTCAACATGAATCTAAATCAACTCATAATCTTAATGATGATGTTGCCACTCATCCTAAGACTTCTATGAATCCCAAGTCGCAGCACTCTGATCCTAACACCGAATCCTGAGCTAGTGATTATACTGATCATTTTGCTCTTCTCGAAATTCAAACCAATGTGTTGGATACCATGAAGCAAGTCTCCTCAATCAAAACATCTGTAACAGAGCTCACCAAAAAAGGATGAAAAGGTTTTCGTACTTGATTCCAAACTTGATACCATCATTCAGTCTCTCTCAAATCAATCCGGACCTTCGGTTGTGTAACATTCATGTTCAGTTATCGTGTATTGTAAATTATAAAAGTGAATAATATTACAAAACATTATATAACCATTCTTAATCCGACCCGTTTCCCTTACCTATAGATACCCATCGAAAACCCCTTTTACCTCTTTACGCGCCCAAACCTTCCAAAACCCTCAAATTTTCTCTTTGTTCATCGTGTTCTTCAAGCACTAATCTTTCTGCAACAATGGCTTCCCAACCTTCTCCACAAAAAATGCACCAATTGCCTCCATTCCCAGGAAGTCGATTGTAATGAATAAACCTTCAACGGGATCATCGTCTTCAACATCACCTGAACCCTTTCTTTGAGATACAACATAGTTATTCTCACTGAACCCTATGGATTATGATGAATCCATTAGAGTTATGATCGAGTTCATCACCAACCATCCCATTTCCATCCCTCTCACTAAAGTTCCTAAACCACCTCTTCCACTGCATCATCTCCACAGGGCTTTTACCAAAATCAAGGAACAGGACGGTGTACTAGAAACCAAAATCATTGGTGATTGAATAGTTCCAATCTACAAATCCACCTTCATAAAGGCGATAGGTGTTAAAGAAAACCCCAAGGGCTTTACTGTTTAAGAACCAACTGTTGAGGAATTCCAACTGTTCTTGAATCACATTGGGTACAATCAGGACTACCAGTTGAAAGACTCCAAGAAACCAATTGTTTCCAGACTCTGGACCGTGCTGATGCATCTGCTCATTAGAGGGCTGTCCGAAAAGCATGTAGGTACGGATACACTTAGCAATGACTGGTTGTATGTGGTTTACAGGATTTACTCAAGACGTAATAATAATTTTGATCTTCTAGAGGTACTATGGTAAGACTTCTACAAGTTCGCCATCAAAATATAGGAGAATAAAACTCCAAGTCCTAGGTTCTAGGCTCTAACTCTGCAACAACTCTTCAAAGAGCTTTCTGAACAATTTCCTTGTGCTGGGATTCCTCTGGAGGTATGCATATCCTTCGAAACTGTTAAGTCCAATAGAATTCCGGACCAATCTTCTTTTGGTCCTCTCCAGAGGTTTACTCAACATATAATTGACATTATTCCTTCTAATTCTCTTAATTTGAGAAAAACATTTGGAGACTTCGACTATGTTCGACCCAACAAAGTTTGTCTAAGTCCCCATTGACCCCATTTCGAATGTGGCCATGCCAACATCTTCCGGACCAAGGAAAACGAAGAAGTCCATCAAAAGGAAAACTTCCCCTACCAAGTCAAAGCCAAAATCGAGAACCAAAGTCGGCTCTTCCTCTCCAACGGAAGATGCTCATGACATTCAGACTGACTCTGGCCATCCGAACATCCCTCCTGCCCACTCATCTGAGGTACCTCTCAATGTTTCAATATCACAAGCACACACACACGGGGAGTCTCCACATCATCCACCATCACATTATCAAAAAGGTGATGCCGGTGTTGATCATAGTTCCTTGCACCCCCTGGAAGACACGCACGAGTTACTTTTAATATCCCACTCATTTCTACACGCACACACTCTGGAACCCATGTTCCTGACCATAAGCATTTCGAAGTCAGAGTTGTCCCTACGACTTTGGATGCCCCAATTGGTCTGATACCTGGAAAGGGTACATGACGACTAGGTGTTAACGATCATTTATGGGAAGACTATGTAAACATGGCACACTCCAGGCATCCAGATCTCACCAGATCTCAAGTGGAATCACCTCTCATTGCCATGAAGAAGAGAGCCATACAAAGAAACCTGCCCTACATCTCACATACTGATGAGCTGGCTGATCTGGAATTCACATCCGGAGAAACTCCAAAACCTCCTCCTCAAGCTTCCAATCCTTCTGCTTTGGAAGATGAAATTTCGTCAGAAGTGTTGCTGACTACCAATGATGCAAATGTTGATAATACCCCTATGGTTTCTTCAGTTCAACTATACTTGAAGCCTTCCTCTTTAAAGTCAGCATCTGATTTTGGATCGTCCTCTTCCACTCAACATGAATCTAAATCAACTCACAATCTTAATGATGA